TAGCACCTGCTTTTCGTCGTCTATCTCCACGTATTTCCCTTAACTCCATCGCATAATGGCCCGAATACGTCTTGCCCCATGGACGGATTTTGGTCCGTTCCCGGACGACAAGGGAGATACAGCACTGTTCAGCGGAGTAAATACAGAATTGGCCCCGTCGCTCAGACTGAAGAACTGACCTGTGGATAGTTGAATGGGCCATTCCGCTTAAGTAACACTGTGTGTACGGTGTCGTTCAGGGTTGGAAGATATGTTGTAGTGGCTTGCATGCGATGACGTCAGACCGAGCGAATCGCGAGCTAGCGCGAGTTTTGTCCGAAGCCACACCTGCTGGCCTGCATTATCTGGGCACTCATCTCCTGCGTTCTATCTGGCCACAAAGTACCGAAGATGGGAATTATTGCGATGAGATTCATTTGTAATCGGGATCAGCATCCTTATTCGTTCTTCACTCGAAGTCACTACGCGTCGTGCCTACTATGCAGACATGTCTGACAGGCTAGCTTTTGGCGCATTACTTGCCTAATTCCATTGTTTTGATCTTCGCCCCATGTGCATGACGACCTACTCATCTCTACGCGCTTCCAAAACTCTCCCTCTTAACAGCAAGGAAGGTCAAACTCCAAAGCTGGCGAATATTGCTCTCAGTCGCGGTCAACGAGCCCAGCTGCTCGATCTGATAGCCGTTGTCGTATTTCCAACTCCACACCTCATGGCTCAGCTGGTCGCGGTTGGCGTCAATTGTATCCCAAAGGCTGTTGTATGCGGAAAGGACTTTGTCATGGACTGTCGAATCTGCGCAGAAGTCTACGATGCTGAGTTAGCAATCACATGATGGAGAAACGTTAGAATATGTCAGGATATCGACTTACCAGGCGCACCCTCTTTATCGCATCGACCAAGCTGTCGCGCAAGTCCAGCACCCATCATGGCAAGCTGCCAGCTCCATACCACAGTGCCGTGGTAGTCGTCCGTTGAGAAACCTGCTTCGAATGTCGCATTTCCAGCGTACGCAGGGTTCGCAACGAATAGTCCAATGTCGCTCGATAGGCCAACCGGGAAAGGTTGGAGGATGTGATCCGCGGTCTGGCTGATGTATGCGGTCAGCTGGGTTTGATTCGTGGTGTCGAGGAGGAAGTGGCGGAAGCAGTCATCGCTATTGATGACTGGCACAACGGGTGCACCGACTTCGCCGTCAAGGGCGACGCCGTAGTATGTGACATCGCTTGTGATCTTTTCGACGTTTGTTGAGAGGGTAAGGTTGGCGTTCGAGACGTAGTTCTCCACAAGAGATTTGGCGTCGGCCTGCGGGACGGTGACTTCGAAGAAGCGTAACGTCTCGTCCTCCCAAATCTGGGCGTGCTTATCGGCCTCTTCGCACCAGTCCGGATGGTCTGAGAAGAAGCCCGCGCGGCTCAAACTTGCGATAGCCCGAAGTCCTGCAGGGACAAGCGCGGTGTTGACGTTGTACGGGATGCGACCTCCTCCGAGGCCATTGCTAGAGTCGCGCCACTCCCCGACTATCTCGCCTTCGTTGAGGTGGATGAGGTTCTCTTTTACTTGACTCTGCGCAAATGGTGCAGCAATGCGCATGATCTTTTCGGCGGTGAATTGGGCCAGCTCAGAATACGCCAGTCCGTCGTTCTCGACTAGGAATGTTGCGGTCTGGCTGAAGAAAGCGTCAGAACGATTCTTGCCAGCATCTGTATCCACGAAGTAGCTGTTCATGGAAATAGGAAGCATGAAGTCCGTATCGATCATCTTGTAGTCACAGCCAGGTGCGCTGGAGTTGATTCCCTTCTTCCTGTTGAGCCAAGTCGCGTAGTCACCGAGGACCTCCTCGTGACACACAGTACCATCAGTGCGATTGACTCGCTCGAGAACAGCTCCGATGACGGCTTCGATGGCCGCTTCGCTGAGAACGGGCTGCATCAACAGCAGCGAGAGCATACTGTCTCGACCGAAGTAGGTGAGGAAGCGCCATGTGCCAGCCAGTAGCTTGTTCGAATATGATAGGAATGACAAAGAGGTGGTTTGATCCGGGTTCTCTGCAATCAAGCCGGAAGACGCCTCGTTGAGAACTTCTTGAGGACTGAGCTGCTCCAGTTGCGGATAGTTGTAAGATGCTTCGAAACGGTAGCTACCTTCGCCGAATGTCAAGGTCCAATTCGCCTCGCGATTCAGGGTAATGGCTTGCGCGCCGTTCAGCGGTGAGAACTTCAGCGTCGTAGTAGTCACACCGTCAAACCAGGTACGGTTGATGGAGGCGCTCCCGTCTTCGTTGATCGCGAAACCGAGATTGTTCTGGAAGTCTTGACTAACGCCTGAGCCTTCGGTCTGGTCGCGGATAGCCCGTATACTACCAAGGATAGGTTGCGTCAATCTAGCAGTAGTATTGAAGTTGATCGATGCTGACACTCCAACACGATCCGATGCGCTCACTGCCTCTACCGTTTCTCCGTTGGCAGACGTTTCTAGGCTGATATTCAGACTGCCTTGACCGCTCTCAGGCGCGAAATATGCCATAGCGCCGCTGTTACCAGCAGGCCATGCCACGATAAGCCGAGGCTTGACCACACTGGTGTTGCTATCAGGCCTGGGACTTGTGACAATGACATGAGCGCTGGTATGACAATCGGAATAGAGGTAGTTCTTCTGAGGTCCGTCCCCTAGATAGAGTCTTGAGGCCGCTTCTTCGCATGGCGATGAGAGCTCGTCAGTCGGCGGAGGTGAATACGTCGCGGAACTTTGAGGGTAAGCCAGGACGGTAGCTACCAGGGCCGCTGACCCCAATACCGTGATCGCGACCATAGCAACTCTGAACCTGTTAGTTGATAGATCTTGCATAGATGTAACGTTCACATATTAGGCTCCGTTACTTACTTGATGATCCGAAAAATTGTCCAATGTCTTTGCGCGTGGTTCGTAGCTTTTACACGCGCGGTATGTGACTAGAACGATCCGCAATTCAATCGCAGTAATTGAAGTTATTACGGATAAATCACATTCGTCGGCCCGTGCGTCCAAACGATAGCCTGTCACTATTACTTCTTTCCTGGTCTCTGGTCGTCTTATGTACGCCCTGTTACTTCGGCCCCATAAGCCCTCTTAGCGACCCACTGACCAGGCACAGTCGAAAAACACGCGCTAGACGTCATGGCTCGAGCCGTTAGTACTCCAACCTCTAACGGCCCCGTTTGGAGCATGCGGGGTCGTGATGGTCGCTCCGTCGTCTTGTTTGTGGGGTAGAGGAGCGGCGGTTCGTTGGCCTTTCTCCCAGAGATCTCGCTTGGCGGGCGCTAGGGCGCATCTGGGTGCGATCGACACCAGGGTCCATAGCTGGGCAGTCACCCTCGTGCGTCATTTGACATCCATGGATCTTTCGTCCCACATATCACACACTTGCAATACTCACAAAAGGCAACGCCTGCATAGGAGCAACACTTATAAGTTGCACCGCACCCTGCGACCCTACCGCATGATCTATCCTCGCATTCTTACAACTATCGTTAAAAGCGACACAGCTTTTAGCTTCTCTATCTTTTGCGCTTAAGCCTAAAAAGTCTTTTTATAAGAGTACTTTAGTTATATATATTAGAGAAAAGATATTTAGTAATAGTAGTTTACTAAGTTTATCTAAAGTAGTTATTTTTATATATATTTATAGTAGCTAAGAATAACTTTATAATAAATATATAATAAGTTATTATAATAGCTTATAAAGTAGAAATAGCTTATACTATAAAACTAAAGTTAAAGCTTAAATAATATATTTATAAAAGTATATTTACTACTACTATTTTTATCTTTTTATTATAATTATAAATACTTTACTACTTTAAAAAATTTTTAACTACTATTTTTTTATTTTTACTAATAACTAAGTAGCTTATTTTACTTTTTTAGTCTTTACTTTAAATTTTAAACTTAATATAATTTACTATAAAGCTTTATTTATTAAAAAGCTATTAGTACTAGCTATATATATATAAAAAAGCTAGTAAATACTTTATAAGCTTAAAGTAATAGTAGCTATATTTATATTTAAGTAGCTTAATAATAGTATATAATTTACTTAAGTAATAGTATAAAGTTACTAATATTTTAGTTTTTAGCTTTTTTAAGTTTTATACTAATAAGCTAATAAAGCTAAAAGTACTACTTTAAAAGCTATTTTTAGTATAGCTATAGCTTATACTTATTAAAAAAATTTTTTTTAAATAAGTAAAAAAACTTAAGTAGTAAATAGTATTAGTAAATATATTAATTAATTACTATAGTAAGTAATTTTAGTAAAAGTAAAAGTAAAAAAAAAGTATTATAAGTTAATTTTATAGCTTTATAATATTTACTATTTATATAGAAAAGTAGTATTATAAGAGAAAAAAATCTACTTCTAGACTAGTGTCTTAGTAAATAAAACTAGGATTACATTAATACATTAAGGACAGCTTTTGGCTGCCGCTACTATGTACACCCGGACATCCGATCAATGTAACTATCGTCAGCATGCGCCTGCTAAGCGGCATCTCGTCGGACCCTACGCAGATATAAGGGCCTTCTTAGCACATTAACCCACGGCAGAAGACGAAGGGACGCCAGGTACCGACGCGTTTAAGACTTGGACGCTAACAGCCCCGACACAAGCCAAGGGTACAGCAACCGAGGCCATTCACGCGGCTCTGAGCGGATAACTGACCATGTCGGGATGCCTCGTGTAGTACGCGCGACGTATTTCTGGTAGAGGCGTTAGGTCTAGAGTAAGTTCCTCAAAGCTACCGAAGAGCTTGGCCAATCACGGGTGCATGTCGATATGAGGTACAACATCACGAAATCTGGGGTAATTACCAGGTGTGTATGGGTAAACGACGATTACGAAGGGGATCACAGGCCCAATATCCTGGTCGTCGGCCACTACAAGATGGCCATAACGTGCTCATCGCGTGCCGTTCTGAGGCTGTCTGAAGTCTGACAACAACAGCCCGTTACATCGCGCAGAGATGCATCTCTCCACCATCGCAATACCAGCCTTCCTCACCACCGCCGTCCAAGCCCACGGCCGAATAACCCAAATCACAACATCGAGCGGAGCAGTCTACGCAGGCTGGGATCCCGCTTCTTCGGACAATCTCATACCGCCGCATCCACTTGCGGCATGGTCCGCGTCAAATCTCGGCAACATCTACATCCCGCCCTCGCAGTTCAACACCTCCAACATCGCTTGCCACTACAACGCCATCCCAGGCGCTCTCCACATCAACACCACGGCCGGCGACGAGCTAAAGCTGCAATGGAACGAATGGCCGGTGTCGCACGTCGGGCCCGTTATGACGTATCTTGCGGACTGTAAGGGGAGCTGCACGGGCAGAAAAAGTGAGGATCTGGCATGGGTCAAGATCGACGAATTGGGATGGCTGAATAGTACAGGCTGGGAGACACTAGATCTCGGTGGGACGTGGGCCGCGGATGTGCTCATTGCGAACGAGTATTCTTGGGTGGTCAGAATACCGGAAAGACTCTCGGAAGGATACTATGTGCTGCGGCATGAGATTATCGCCCTGCATATTGCGGAGAAACTGGATGGTGCGCAGGCGTATCCGCAGTGTGTGAATCTACGCGTTGTGAGAGGGGCGGAGGAGCAGGGGAAGAAGCTGGCTGGTGGTGTTCTGGGTAAAGACTTGTACGGTATGAGAGATGAAGGTATACTAGTGGATGTGCATCGGAAGATTGACGGGTATAAGATCCCAGGGCCAAAGCTATGGGAGGACGCAACGCCTATACGGCAGCCAAACCAATAGTCCCTCTTCCATTCCACACCGAAGGCGTCGAAAGATTGTCTCAATACTCAAAAGAAAAAGTACATGAGCATCTCGTCAACCCCATCACTCTGTCCATCCTTGACCTCCTCCTTGACCTCAACAAGAAAGTCTTCATCCCCCGCCACCCTTGGCTTCTCGCATTCCATCAGCGCCTTCCTAAACGCCCTCCCCGTCTCCGTCTCTGTACCATACATTCGCTTGACGCTGTTCACCCAGCCAGACCCAGCGACCAGATATGGATTCGCACCAGCTTCAAGCAGTGCCACACAGGCTACATCGCGGTTGCCGTAACGGGTCGCTGCCCGGAGAGGCCGATCGAGACCGGACAGGTAGGCAGGGCCATTAGGACCTGCGCCGAGCTTGAGCAGCTCTTTGACGAAGATGACAGACTGTGGTGTTGCTGCGCTATCGAGGGCGGTGAAGAGGGGGTATGTGTTGTCCTGGATGTGATTGATGGACAATGTGGTTCGGTCTGCGTGCGGAGTGAAAAGTACGTGAAGAAGAGCTGGCTTCGCGAGATGGCATGCCAGTTCGAAGGTGACGTAGATGGTCGATAGACCAGACTGTGTGGGGATGGTCAGCAGCAGCTTGAGAGCATGTTCATCGTCCGACACGATCGCTGTGTCCAACCAGGCTCTCATACAGGCTTCAGTTGCTGGACCGAATGCATCGTTGTACGTCTTGAGGAGATAGCCGACCTTATCGTTCTCTCCTAGCTCGATAGCAGTGCAGATCGCTTTGCGGAATGACAGGTGTTCGGTGTAGGAAGACTCGGCAAATTCCTGGCTCTGGTTAGTAATTGCCTGTTGCGCTATTGCATGAACAACAGCGGTCTGGCGCGCATACACAGCGACTTCGAGCGGGTAGCCAAATGAAGGTGAGAGTGACCACAGCATGTGCCTCTTGGCGCTGGCGAAATGCCTCAGCGCAGCAACGCTGCCTGTCGCGGCGGCTGCGGCAACTTGATTGCCGATATCAGTCGATAGGATTGTCTGCTGTAAGTGAGAGCCCATGCTGTTGATATCAGTTGTAACAGCCCTCAGCGCGTCGCGGTGATTGCGCACAAAGAGCTCACACAGCGCTTTTCGAAGTGAGGTTGAGGCTTCATCGTCGGTAACCCACGGACCCAGCGCTAACATGACATCCCGAATGAACTCCGGCACGTGATGGCGAACGAAGCCGTTGAGCGTAGAGCTGCGTAGGAAGAGGAAGTCAGCAAGGTAGTTCTTCAGGATCTCGCGGCCGACACGAGTGCTGTTGTAGTCGTGGAGGGAGAGGTTGGCGAGGATCTCGTAGATAATGTAACGGCGGAACGTCTCTGTTGTCGCAGCATGTTAGTTCTATTCATCACGTCTGGCGTCTTTGTGTTTGTACTTACGGCTTGTTCCTCGGGCCTTCCAGGCTTCTGGTAATCCGTGCTTCTTGACCAGCACGGCCATGATGTGCTGGAAGATCTCGGTCGGTAGATCAAGTAACTGCGGCATTTTTGTTAGCTAATCAGAACCTCGAAATGCTGTGATGCTGATGTGGAGGTTATCGGCGTTGAGATTCGACAAAGAGGTTCGCGTCGCATGGTTCGCTGGGGATATCTGGGGAATATAAGTACCTGAAGGTAAGCTCGCAATCGTTGGTCACCGTCGAATTCTTATTGAGGTCGCGCTGCCGATGTGACTGTCGATTCGCCAAGGGCGTCGAGGTGACTGTGAACTTGCTATAGTCTTATTGTAGTGCGCGAAAGAGATTCTAGGAAGCAAGTCAACAATGACACGCTTATTGTAAAGCTACTAGAGACAACGTGGTGGGCGTCGACGTCAATCTGACAAGTACGAGCAGATGGTGGAATTGAAGTTTGTGGTTTCCATGAGTCGGGTGAGAAAAGTTCATAGCCAAAGGTGAAGGTGACTGAACACTAGGTAAAGGTAAAGGTAACTAGACCTCAGTCAAAGGTATCTCAACATCGGGTAAAGGTGACTGAGTATGAGGAAGATGGGATGCGGAAGGAGGTGTAGTCAGGTAGTTAGGATGCAACGGAAGGAATGAAATTTTGCGAGCAATCACAAGCATATTCTGACTGAAGTTTGTAATTTTCATGAGTTGGTAAAAGCCATCCGATCTAAGACTTGAGCTTCTGGAAAACAATTCCACAACGCCCAAGGACCCTACTTAGCCCCATACTCTAATACTCGATAATCGTCCCAATCGAAAGCCCGAGTATACCTAAGTCCTAGTCGATGAAAGACCCAGGATCTCGCCTACATGAAGCCCATGCTCTTTTCTCAATCGTTTTTCGAGGGACGTGGACGGTGACGTGGTGGAGGAGGGCGTTCTAGCCACAGGGAGTGAAGGTGCGAGCTGAAGTTTGTTGTCGTGGGGGTTGTCCGTGCACCCGGCGGAACCACGGACGTAGAGTCGACGTTGAGCCAGCAGGCTATTCTCTGCGACAACATATTACGGCGTAGCACCCAGGCACCCCTCAACCTACCACGATCAATCGCAGCTAGTTGCGCTCCTCGACGAAGCCACGGCCGTTACGAACCAAGGCGTTCCAGTAACCGAAAGTGTCGCCCACTCCAGAGTGGAGCAAATCGAAGAAGCGGCGACGACGAGGCGACATCTTGGAGCCCACTTCGTACCACTCCGGCCAGATGTCTTGGGTATCAGCGCCCCATACCAGCAGCAGACGAAAGATCTCGAGGCGGTTGTCGACCAGAGCGCGTCGTAGAGGGCGTTGACGACCCTTGGCGGCAGGCAGACCATCAGGATGTGCACCAAGCAAGAGAAGCTCCTCCACGGGACCGACCTTTCCTGCCGCGACCGCGGTTACAAGAGCATTCTCCTGGCTAGCGCAGGCCGAGCGCTCGTAATAGCCTTGGTTGGGATCGAGGATACCGCTCAGGACGAACATTCGGACCATGAGCACGTCGCCGCGCTTGCAAGCCATCTCGAATGCGGTGATACGGGATAGGATATCAGGAAAGCGACGAATGGTGAACGTCAGTGTCTGTACGATGCGGTGGTCCGAAAGCTTGACCGCCAGTGAAAGCCACCTGTTATAGACGTCGTCGTTTTGGTGTACAGGGAAGAAACCGTGGTAGACCTTGAGCAGGAGTAGCGCGGGGTCGCTATGTCCTCCGGCCAGTGATGCGTCGATGGCCTCCATGACGGCAAGATGATATTCATCGTTGGGAATCGTGCGGTAGTTGAGCATGACCCAATCCATGAGAAGATTGACGAGCTTCATGTGATTGCCGCCTGCAGCTGCAGCGAGCGCATAGCCGAACGCGTAAGACTTGCGGAAGAGACCGGCGGTACCGAATTGATCCATCAGCTTCTGGAAGCCTACGGCGTCACCAGCTGCCGCTGTGGTAGCGAACAACTCTACCTCAAGGTTGACCCCAGCGATGTTGAACCTAGGAAGAACGTCGAAGAACTTCTGGCTTGTCGATTTGTATATGGCCAGGTTATAGGCAGAATCGCACTGGGCCGCCAGCTGCTTACCCAGAAGGAGCGCGTATGCGAGTTCTTGACCGTCCTGCATCACCCCATACTGACGCAGGAGCTTCATACGGCCCGCGATGAGACGGGGAAGGTAGGGTAAGCGTCCGTCAGGCTTGCCTATGAATGCCCGAAGACCGAGATGACCGAGATGGTCTCCAAGGTTGTCCTTGTTCTTGAGATAATCGCGGCCGCTGTTCACTCCCATACGCAGGAAGTCGCCGATCGGCTTCTTGGAGATCTCGACGGTGATGGGGCCCTTGAAAGCTCCTAAGTAGGCAGAGTCAGTTTATGCGAAGTCGCGAAGTCTTGCATATAGAGAGACTTACGGCAGACGCGGCGGTACTTGGCCAGGCTAAGCGCGGTTTCGCCTTCGCAGAAGTCGCGGATGACGATGTCGAACAACTCCTGGGGAAGGTCAAGAAGACGGAAGATAGACGCCGCCATTGTCGCTGTCAATATTGGCTACTTTCGATGAGGGCAGAAGTCGTGTTGCCTGAGCGGTCGCGGTTTGAATAGTGGTGGGGTACTCGCTTCAGGGAAAGCGTCCGACCGCAAGACTTTTCCAGTCATTTCACTGATCGCCCCCGCCGGCGGCGGCTAGGAATCTCCTCGTCGTTTGCAGTATACGTGCTATCAAATCTTGAGAACTAGGCAGTTCTCAAGATGATGTATGCTCTTACCCCAGAATATTCTGTGTAAAATGCGACGGGGATCGTAGCTACCCCTGGTGCATCCTCTGTTCCCAAGACCTTCGGTCAACAGTGGTGACTGAGATCACTTCGGTAGACGTAATGTCTATTATCGAGAGCCCGAGAGGCATCTGCGATGGCTGCAGGCCATATATCGGAGGTTCAGACTCTACTGGCAAGACAGTACTCCAACGGTGCCTCACGCCAGTCGCCCACGATGCAGTGTGTCGCGGGTAAATGTTCTTAAAGAACATTCTATGGGAGAACATGGAAGACAACTCGAGCCGTAGATATCGGCTTTGAAGCCCACGGAGAAGAAGGAGACGAAAAAAGATGACGGATATGCAGTGGCTTTTGACGACGCTGTACCATGGAGAGAAGGCATCACAAGAGTGTCACGCTGAAACGGCCTGCAGAGAATCTTTCCAAAAGAACATGAAAGACATGTCGAGCCTTAGATATGGGTCGCAAATCCCAAAGAGTAGAGAAAGATGAAATGACGAGTGTGCAGTGACTTGTGATGATATTGCGCCCTGATGAGGCTGCACCGGAACCGGAACAGACGACCTGTAAGACTGAGGCGGCATTCTGGTGTCTAAGATAGTGGGCGATGAAAAGAATCGAATGTAAGACTGGGTAGCTGCAATATTGAGTCGTGGATGCCGGAGTCTAGGACACGGCTTGATTGTCTATGGCGGCAGCATGCGCATGTTTGAGAAGACGAATGCTAATAGAATATAAACACTGGGGTACTGTTATACGAAATCAGCTTGAACCAGGGGAAGGTGCGAGACCAAGTAGCTGCTATACTGAGCTGTGCATGTCGGAAACCAGATCTTGGGACGCACGATCTGCATATGCAGGTGATATGTTGGACAGAATGGAAGCAACTGAGTTTCAGATACTTCTGAAGGAAGACGTGACATCAGCATGAATGTAGCGCTTTGATGACTCCTGTACATAGCAACCGGTCACCTATGCGCAAACCGACCAAGATGCCGTAAAGCTGAGCATGTAGGCCGAAGGGGTGGAGTCGGCATTCAGGTTGTGGTGCGTAACGGCATTGCTGACATCAAATCGTATCGCGGATCATTACTCTGGTGCGAGGTCGTTGTGGCTTTCTGGTATCGATCGCAATGTTGGTGATGGCAATCATCGTGGTGAATCGGACGCGATCCCACAAACGGGAGCGTGCTGGCCGAATGGGTCGAGTAAGCGCTGACTTCGCGATGCGTAACGGCATAGCAGGCATAGATTTCATATGGCGAACAGCGGCTTCGATAGCAGGTCATTGTGGCCGTCTAGTGTTGGATGGGATGGAGGATGATAGAAGACATGGAGTTTCGCAAACCTCACTCCGTCAGGCTCTAGTGACGCACGTGGCGCTAGCGTGCCGCGGCTGCAGCAACGACGTCAACCAAGCCATGGACCCTGGATCTTGCAGCAGCATCTCTCTTTTGCTTTTGGCATTCAACGCGTCTGCGCCCCGGTATTCAATAAACCCAAAGAGACATCACGCGCATACACTCAGCTTGGGCCAGCAGAACGACGCTATTGCCGCGAATACAGTGCACGCGACCGCGCCAGGCATCGGCCTAACACAAGACGGCCGCCTGCCGCCGAATCACCCCAATACCAGCTCTACGTCGCAAGTCGATTACTATACCTATCGCAAGCATGGCGCCTCTCAAGATCTCGATACCGACGACGCAAGAGCAAACACCCGAAAACGGCAAAGCCTACACATCCTACACCATCAAAATCGAACACCCCTTCCCACGCGCCGCAACCACCCTCCAAAAGCGCTACTCCGACTTCTCCGCCCTCGACTCATCGCTCCGCTCAGAAGTCAGCGCCGCACCACCAGCGCCCCTCCCCCCAAAATCCTGGCTCGGCGGCTTCCTAGGCCTAGGCACCACCACAACCACGCCCGAAGCCATCGAGAAGCGACGAGTCGGGTTAGAAACCTATCTCCGCGCGATAGAAAGCGCCGAAGACGGGCGCTGGCGCGTCTCCAAAGCCTACAAGCAGTTTCTGGAACTAGGAGAGAAGGATGGCGCGAACGGGAAAAAGGCAGCTGGTTTCCCCGGCAGCCAATTCGGCAAGGATAGGGTGAGGGATAGTTCAGATTGGCTGGACAAGCACTCAGAGCTTAAATCTAACTTGCAAGATGCGCGACGGTGGTTGACGAAACGCGAACAAGCTACCGCTGCGACGGCGCAGCATGAAGCCGCGGCCAATGCGAAGAAAAGCCTCGTCAGAGCCGGTACCCTCATCTCTGCACTCGAAGAAGGGCTAAGCCGTCTCGGCGGCTCCAACAACAAAACCTCAGACGACTGGTCCGCCGAGAAACTAGGCGATGGCGAAATCCGACGCAGAAAAGACATGATAAGCGGTCTCCGCAAAGAACGCGACGGCCTCGACTCCGTCCTCAACAGCATGGCCGTAAAAGCCGCAATCTCTGGTTCTGGAACCTCCTCCACCCCTTCCACCTCCTCCAGCGCCGCCGTCACCGAAAGCCAGAAAGCCGGACTCTTCTCCTCCAGAAACACCTCCTCCCACCCCACCAAATCCTCTAGCAGCCGCCGCGTCCTCGGCGGCCCGCCCGCCGCCGAAACAGACAAAACCCGCGAGTTGGACAATGACGGCGTCCTCCAATTACAGCAACAGATTATACAAGAACAGGATGAAGATCTTGTGGATTTGACGACGGTGGTGCGCAGGATGAAGGAGATGGGTGTGCAGATTAATACGGAGATTGTGGAGCAGAATGCGATGTTGGGCTTGTTTGAGGAGGATGTGGAGAGGGTGGATGGGAAGATTCGGATTGCGAAGAAGAGGGTTGATAAAATCCGTTAGTTGTCATGTGAGGAGGGCGTTGGGGCTTTGGGTCGTGTTTGTAATATAGGCGTTGGAGTATGCTCTTTTGGCACTTGGCGTTTTTGTTATGGTTTTGGGATGGATAATCTGAGTACGATACCCCTTTCGAATGGGACAGCAAGTGTGCATGTGAGATACAAGTATCAATTGCGTATCTCCATCCGTCGAAGTAATGCATAAGCATACTACTGTCCTGCCTCTCGCCCATTAACGTGTCAAATGATTGCAAACTCTCTCATACCATGTCCGCAAACGAAACCCTCCAAACCATACGATTAATGCGTAACCCAGCTCACGAAACGTTATGTCAGTATGCTCGGATCTTCCCATCCTCCCTGTCGTCGCTCAAGCAGCTCCCTCTCATTCCCCTCTCACTCCGCTGATTGGAAGGCTCTAACATGTTCAGTTTTCTCCTCGAATGAGATGGAACGCTGAGGAACGTCGCGGGTAAAACTATCCCACTCAATGGAAACACTAGACACGTATTTCCGCGAAGTACAACTCGTAAAAATAGGCTTAGAAGGCTACATTGCCTTAAAATCCTAGAAACAGAGAGTCTTAGGGCAATGTAGACTTCAGGGCACCAGTTAAGATCTTCCCTTGAATGGAGTGAAGACGTCCATTGAACAATGAAAAGTAGTAGATATATTCGCATAGAAACAATGCATCATCGCTGCCATCCATCCATCCTCACAACGACATACGTCTAATCCGTACCATCACCCAACCGCATAGTACTCAAATTATCCGACCTAATCTTCAATATATGATCCACCGCCTCAATAAGATGCGGCACAAACTTCGCCGGGTTCTCCGTCGCCGGGAAATGACCAAGATCCGGCATCGCCTTGTGCATCGCTCCGGGTATCTTGTCCGCCGTCTTCTGGCCCATCTCTGGGGTGTTGGACCAATCGTACTCGCCGGTCAACATGTATACGGGACAGTTCTGGGTATCGATCGAGGCTACGCGGGATCGTCCGTCCCAACCTCCGAAGTAGAAGTCGAGGTCGCCGTGGAAGATCTGGGGAGGGGTTAGAAGGGGGTGGGGTGGGGTGGGAGGTTTTGGGGGTGTGCTTACGCCGTAGGCTTGCGCGCTGTAGGTGTGCCATATGAGCTGCTTGTTTACGTGGGGCGTGGTTGGAGACATCATCTACTGCATGTCAGTAATGTTCTCTGCTTAACGACGCAATTCAACGTACGCCATAGATCCATTCCGGGTTGAACAGCGATTGGTTCACGACTGGAGAGCGATCATGCCATTGTCGCTCCATGTTGAGGTACTCAGAACTATGATCGTTAGCATCGATACCTTCGCCTCGTCGTTCCACGTACCCTTGCAACGGAATGACACCTGCAGCGCCGACCTCCCTATGGCGGATTGCGACTGCCAGACAAACTTGACCGGCCATGCTTGCGCCGCAAATGATCGGTCTTCGCAGACCCAGGGCCTTCACGAAAGCCGTGATGATGCCTACGTAGCTATCTTCGGTGTTTGTATGCGCGCCCGGGGAGTAGTTCTTCGAAGGGAAGCTGCGTCCATGTCCTGGTAAGTCGAATGCGTACATGATGCACTTCTTGCGCATCTTCGCGTCGTTCATGACACCGTGGTATTGCCGGCTGTCGCTGCCAGCGGTATGCAGAAAGACGATGGGTTGCTTTCCCTCACCAGAGTACTCGTAGAAGGTTTTGCACCTACCCCATACTGGAGCATCGAGGTACAGGTACTTTCCAGTAAGGAAGTCGCGCTCGGGTTCGGCTTGCTCGTCCTCCTTCATCGGTCCACAATGCGCGTCGTGTGTGAGTTCGAGGCCGCGCCTCCAGACATGTGTCCATTGCGCAAAGGCTGTCTGATCGCCCAGGACTTCAATGCCTTTCTGCTTGATGTTCATGCCAAACATTCCCCAGTAACTCTGGTACGGCATCGCCGGGACTGCCTTGAAGTGCTGTTCCCATTGCTCGGGCAGAGCAGAGAGCGTGAACAGGGCATCTTTCGAAGAGCCGGTGCTGGCTTTTGCGCTGCCGTTGTTGACTGTGACAAGCAGGGTGTTGTCAGACCCGCTTGACTTGATGCCGAACGTTACATCTTTGTCAATGGCATTCGAAGTCGTAAAGGCTTTGAGCTGTGCATCGGATTGGAGGAGCTCGGAAAGCTTGCCTAAGCTTCCTTTGAGAGCCGCGGTAAGATCAGACCAGTCAGACATGGTGGTTTTGGGCGTGCAATGACTCGTTACAACGCGACGAATGCGAGAACTCAACAGAGGAAAGGAATTGAATCAAGAAAGGCAGAGGAGGGCAGAAATGATGCGCAAGCATGCCGACGGCGCGCTCTACACATATAGCAACACATGACCCCGGTATCGCCCAGAGCTAGCTATGGAGCTATTATGCCAGGAGGGGTAGAAGTAATGCGGGGTGCGGCACACGTGGGCGCATGTCTCGACTGTCGCTCGTCATGGTTCCGGTGAGCTCGCTGTTGACCCAGACCAGATTTGGGCGGCTAGCTGATGATGCATGCCATGAGGAGACGCGGGGAGTGTTGATCAAGCAAGCCGGTCGCGCGCGAGACACGTTAACCCCACTAGCGCGGTCGCCAAGCCGCTGGCAGGGAAGGCGATCGTTCCCCACAACGCTCCAAACCCACTTCCGAGCAAGCCTCAGTTATTACGAACCACATGCAAAGCCGCGGCCGTCGACTCACGCCTCATCGCCTTCATCGGTTCTGCCCTGACGATAGCTGTCGCGATCTCGAAATGATCAGCTGAAGATCATCGGCAAAGCTCCTCTGGTCCGACTGCGGAGTGTTGGCTTACGGTATTTGAACGTCAGCCGGGGAACTCCCATCTCAACAACGTCCATGATTTGCACGTCTTCACGTGTCTCAGCAGACATTCGAAGTGTTGCTTTCTTGAGCATGGTTATTTACCTCAGCGCGTATGGAGACTGCACAGCGGATAGCGGCAAATTCATATTGGCGCACTCAGGGCGATACTCCAGCCATCCACCGGACTGGCCGCCCACGCAATTACGCTGAATGCGCTCTCAACGGCTGTTATTGCACAGAATGGAAGCTCTTGTTTGCGACAATGCGGGTAGCACAATTTCACTCCTACCCAAGACAGAGCCTCATGTGTTACCAGCAAACAACCGTCTGTCCCCGATGATTTGCGGGTTCCAGCATGACACCCTGAGCGTGATCTGCGCTACTTACTTATATAGATATTCAATCCTCACAACGTTCTACGAACCGTCCAGCAAATTACAAGGCGCCAATCATACCATAGTTTGACTTGCAGCCAGAACAAGATGCATCCCTCACGGCAAGCACTCATCGGTAACATGCAAGCTTCAGCCACCCCACTCATGTACGCCATCCAAGATATGCCAGGGAAAGGTAAAGGCCTTATCGCGACTAGAGATATCCCCAAAGGTACAAGGATAATATCTGAGAAACCCGTCTTCGCGGTAGGAGAACCAGTTGAGTCAGAACTAGCAGAGCGAGTCACGTCTTTGAGCCAACATCACAGAGGCGAGTTTCTATCCATGTGCAATATCCACCCTTTCAACGACTACGAGGCGCAATGGATCGGGATTTTGTACACAAACGCTCTACCCATCGGGTCAAAGCTAGAACTCAGTGGTATCTTCTCCACAGCATGCCGCATCAACCACGCGTGCGGTAACAATGCTGCTCACTGCTGGCACGATGATAGTAATCGTCTAACAGTACATGCTATACGAGATATCTCCCAGGGAGAAGAAATCACGATATCTTACCTAGGCGGCGCCTTCGATCGAAACGAGCGACAAGAGGAGCTCCAGAGGAGATTTCATTTCACCTGTCAATGTCAACTCTGCTCGTTACTATCTCAGCAGTCCATCGAGAGCGACTTGATTCTGAATCGCATTAACGAAATAGACAACATCATCTCAGACGAAGCTGGTCTCGGGCCGCGCGGCATCAACAAAACACCTGAGAACCTGCTCTGCCTCATTGAGGAAATGGTCCTGCTGTGGAAGCGACACGACCATAGTCCGAATCCAGTCGGCCTGGCGCATGCTTACTACCTCGCTTTTCAGATCACGAAAGCGAGGGGTGATTTCGCTAGGGCTAGAGTGTTCGCGGATAGACTTGTGCCTCTCCGCACGACTTTCATGGGTAAGGAAAGTCGATACGTGAGAGAACACCGGCGGCTGCGCCATGATCCTACGGTTTATAGATTTAGTGGTGTATCGATGCAGGGGCTCACAAACTTGGATGAAGTTCCGTTTGGGCCTTGGTGGCATGATCTTGAAGCGTGGCTTTGGATGAGGGATCTGCAGATGGATGAAGGGGTGAATGTTCAGGGTTGGCTTGATGATGTTTCTTGATGGAACAAAGGAAGGTTTTGCCTAGGACTATACGCGTATCCCCGTCCTCATTCAACACATCCACTACTAGCATGTACTACCTTCTACCTCATTCTCTAACCCCCAAGCCTCAAGTGCGACTGTTACACATAGGTATGTTTGCTGCTCGACTATCTTGGACATGTTCACACATAATCGATACCCCGGTAAGCAACAAGGAAAGAAAACAAAGACTTACCGATAGAGGTAAAGGCTCAACCAGAAAGCAACAGACACCATCCGCGAAGATTTTGACAGACTAGGAAACCCTGACATGTCATCTGAGTCCACGGCATATGCAAGACCCCGACATCATCGGCACTGGGGATTATCATGCCGTTTCCTCAACTTCTTCGTTCCGGTCAGTCGATCTAGAGCTACACCAATGGGTCATTCGGCTCTCATTTCTCAACGGAGTTGCCAAGTCCATGCGGCTCTGCAAACTCCCATCGCCCGTCCGAGGAACACCCACGGGTACACACTCCTGCCATACGGAAGGAAAGAAGACGGGATGCCGCATCTGCAGTACCAAAACATCCTCAATGAGTGCATCTCCATCTCTACCACTGATCCAGCAAATATCCGTCATTACATAAATGCCCATGAAGGACCGCTGTATCCCATCTCCCACCACTCATCAAACCTACCCAATCAACAACCCACAAGCCCAACAAGCCGAACAACAAGCAACTCCCCAAAAATGCGCTTCACCGCCCCCACCATCGCTCTCACAGCATCTGCGTCTCTCCCCCTCCTCACCACCGCCCAGATGGGCCCCGACGACACAATCTGCGGCTTCCTCTACGGCACCGACTACACCGACGCCTGCTGCCACACTGTCATAAGCCGCGGGATTAATGCGCCTTGCACTGATATCGAGTATGTGGGCAACTTGACCGAGTGCTCTACGTATCATTATCCGACGGGGTGGGCTGTTTGTGTTGAGAAGGTATGATCTTTACTAGTAATTCCGAGGATTATTCATGAACGGTGGGATAGGGTTGGGGGAAGAGGGAGGGGAATGTGATGGTGTGGGTAGTGTAGTAATGGAACTGACATAAACGCAGGAGCCCGCCTACCCCGCCTCCGGCCCTCTCTTCGGCCACGGACCCAGCGGCATCGTATCCGAATACATGACTCTTGAGGATTTGGAGCAGGTGTATTGGGATTACTTCAGTTCCAATGCTATGGGTGAGACTATGGCTAAGGCTGTTGCTGCGATGAAGAACGCTTGAGCGCGTAGTAGGCTACGCCATACACGGCTAGGCAGGCGAAGTGGATTTAGGTATGACGGATAGTGAGAAGGGATGATGGATGACGGATGGGTGGTACGTTGCATGGCTCTGTCACTCGTTTGGAGTACATGTGAACGGCAGAAGGAAGTCAGCGGGGAGAATGGGTAACGTCGGATTGTAATGTTGTACTCGGGGTTATTAGAAGCGGGGATGAGAGGCTGTTTACTTCGAATATAAATATCAACCATTACCCTACCCTTCTCCTTAATCTTCCTTTTCCCATTTACCACCTCCGGCACTCCCGTTCCAATCACCGCCAACGACCCCAGCCATGTCCACTCCCAACCCCCTTACCTCCACCATCCTCCTCATCCTCCCCCTCTTCACCACACTTAACGCCCAACCCTCCCCACCCCTAAGCCTATGCCAGATGAACATAGATCCCACCTGGACCGACAACTGCTGCACCGAACTGCTCTCGCATGACGGGCCACCATGTTATACCCCCATCCCAGTCGCAAACATAACAGACTGTACTGTGGATCTTTATCCGAGGGGATGGGCATGTTGTATCGAAGGGGTATGTAACGTTGTATCCGTCTTGGCTTAGCCATTAACTGTAGACGGGGTACGAGAGCTAATCGAGATGCATGTATAGAAGCCTGTAGATCCCGCATATCCGTTGTGGTCATGTGGATGGAGTATTGATCCGCAGAGTATGGGGGAGGGGATCATGGACGACATGGTGATGATGGGGGGTGGGATGGGTGTGAAGACTGGACATGCGGAGAAGGACAGTAGGATGAAACGCTGGGTGAGCAGTATCGGCTTGTGATGTCAATCAAACAACTCTAGGCATCCTCCTCCGCCCCTCCTCCACCCCTCCGCCTCCCCTCCGCCTCCCCCACCCACCCTGTATGTAACGTTGCATCCGTTTTCTAGAGGGAACGAGAAGGAGAATTGACTGAGTGTGTGGCATAGGAACCTGCTGACTCGGCATATCCGTTGTGGTCATGTGGATGGAGTATTGATCCAGAAAGTGTGGGAGAGGGTGTGATGGATGATATGGTGATGGTGGGGGGTGGGATGGGTGTGAAGCGTGGAGGTACGGAGAAACGCGCAGGGATGAAGCGGTGGTGGAATGTTTTGGGGTTGTAGACTATGACAGCAAGCTTGACGGAAGTAACGTCGTACCCGTCTTCACCAGAAAGCACAAACCGCATCAGCAGACGCTTCATTCTCACAGTTCTATCTCGGTCACACTTATGAACATCGTGTTTTGAACAACAGGCCCCTTGACTTATTCGTTAACAGGCTTAGCACCCAACATCCACCCAATCCCACTAGCAAGCGCCCCCGTCGCAGCATTAGCAACCATATCCCTCCTCCTCACCCTTTCCTGCGCATCCATACTGCCTGTCTCACTGCCATCCATACTAACCCTGCCAGATCCCACTTCCTTGTGATCCGCAACCTGCATACTCCCACTACTACTCCGAAGCGGAAACGCCGTTTTCGAAAACGCCGCCGCAGCACCCCTCGCCACATCAAACAACCCCATTGGCGACTCTTCCACCGCACCCCGCCCCACCTCCCTTCGCTGCGGCTGCACAGTAATAGTATCAAGATCGAAAGCGCCAGGCAGTTTGCGGTCAGCAGCGTCGTTGAAGCGTTCTTCGGCTTCTGTTTCTTGGGCGAGGAGGTGCATCATTTCGGCTTCACACTGCTGCCATACGCCGAGGACTTCTTCGAGGTGGTTGGGTGGGGCGAGGAGGAGGGCTTGGCTGAGGAGTTCCATGCGTTGTTCTAGGCGGCGGAGGTCGGGGCGTGCGGTGGAGCTGGATTGGGTCCAGGAGGTGGATGGGGAGAGGGAGGTGTGGCGGCCGGCGCGGAGGGCGGCGCGCCAGGCTACGTCTTCGGCGTCGTCGGAGTGGTCTTCGGTTTCTGTGGGTCCGAAGGAGAAGAAGTTTGAGGAGGTTGGTGGTGTTGGTGAGGGGGTTGAGGGGGTTAGTCGGTTGACGACGTATGAGTACGCTGTTTCAAAGTCATCTTCTTCCAGTGCAGCTTCGACAGCCATGCCAATCACTCGTTGCCCCGCCGCGGCTTTCTTTCGCTCGATCGTGGCGGCGTCCGTAGTCACGTTTCCTGAATTTTCATCCATAATGGTTGATGGCATGGCGACTACCAAGTTCTGACCGATAGAAACCAGATCGTCGAGCTTGGTGTAGCTACCGCTATTTTGCGATAGTAATTTGCGCACTAACGACAGCGGATTGTGGCTCACTCTGATATTGACCGGCTGAAAAGGGACGCCATGCTGGAGTATGAGCGAGTAGAACGACATGGCGTGAGTTGCTGTGAGCAGTGCTTGGAAGCGACGGAATCGCGACGAGGAAGGGAAGTGGGGAGCGAATGCGGCGATTATATCAGCAGCACGCTTCATACCACCTCTGTTGCGATTGCCGTTGCTGGCGTTGTCATAGTGATTCATGGCTGAGGCGAGCACGACTTGCTCTACATCTGAGGAGAGGAGTGGCTGTTCGCCAAATCCTGGTTTGATGTAAAGGTCTATCGCGAGGGGGAAGTGGTTGCTTTCCAAAAGAGCCTTCAATACCTCCGTCTCTAGAGTCTTCCGCTCCAGCAAACCAAAGACACCTTGGGCTTTTCGGTCTTCGTCGTGGTAGTCGGTTCCCCAGTTCCAGAGCCACAGTAACTTCGACCGGATAGTAGCCCATTGTTCGCTGTCTTTCTTGGAGCCGCTGTTCAGTGTGTGCAGTATCTTTTGGAGTAATGATAGTTGCTCGGAGTAGTCGTCCCGCAGAGACATCTTCGCAATTTCCCGGATAGATACTGGTTGTTGTAGGGTCGATAGGACACACGACGAGAAGATGATGAGCTCAATGATGCGAAACGCTTCGGCACCAGGCTGTGTGATGACATTGTCAGGATCCAGTAGACGATCCTCTCTCAGTAAAGCAGTTGTAGAGTCCTGGAGCAGAGGATCCTTCAGGTCGTAGCTGGGTAATTGCGCGACACCGATGCTGAGGTCTGGAGGCGGGTCATAATTGAGGAGCGTGCATATCCTCGTCAACAGCGAATGTGCGGTCTGTAACGATGTGATGTCGCTCTTATCTACTAGATAGAGACATGCGAGCGCGGTGCGTGCATATTTCATCTCCAGCTGCCGCTGTTGTTGGTCATCGACGTAGTCTCGCCCTTCCTCGTAGCCACCAAGATCCATATCCTCAGGGCCGTCCCAGTCGGAGATGGCTGCCGTGACAAGCGCCAAGTGCTCCTTCGATGCATGTAGCAGCCATTGGAACAGACAATCCCAGTCGTCTGGTTCCCGTGCTTGATCCTGGGTGATCGACGCTCTCCGACCTTCGTGTGTGATCTTCCGCCTCTTGCGGTCATTCGTTCCACACAGCCATGGGGCGACTACGCCCTTCAGATCTCGTGCCGCGTTGTGTGTATTGGTCTGTGTCGTGCTTCGAGCGTGGGAGAGTTGGTAATCGATGGCACGTCGTCCTTTGAGTGCCGCAAATTCGTCGAGCGTGGTTGCAGTTGATTGCGGATAGTACTCGTAGCTGAGGCGTAGGAGTGGGAGGACGGTCGATATGAACCACGTGCGTAGATATTCGGAGTGGCCCAGGAAGGGGACCACCAGCTGAGGCACGAGATCCAGGAGGCCCGTCTGCGCGTCTATTCGGTGGGCGCGGTGTATGAGGAAGTGGCTGAACAGGTCCAGTTCGCTCTCTTCGGCATAAAGAGGATGGATTACAGGCGGCAGATCCAGCGCATGTCTCCTCTTCTTCGCCCGTGAATTCGAGAGCTGTTCCACCGATGTTATGTCTAGCGATGCCCCAGGGTTCTCGCCAGGATACCGCGATCCAGTCGCCAGATCATGGAGATATTCGTAGTACGACGCCGGGTCGCTCTCTTCGGGGAGGTAGTTGAGGAGAATGCTCAGGGTCAGCTCAAGCGGCAGATCCCCGTCTCGGAGTGCTGTCAGCGCCCGCAGCGCTAGGATGTTGGATTCGGTGGCATATTGTACGGCGAGGAGCACACAGTGTGGCGGCGACAATTGCGACAACTTCTGCAGGGCTGCCATGTCGAGAGTTTGCGGGCTGTTATGGAGATTCGACTTTCATCGTTGACGTGAAGCTTGGAAAGGCCACGCCCGCAATGCGACAATTCGCTACGTCAACCGCCAAGCCCCGCTCTCGGGGGTCCGCTCACAGCCAGCCTTTCACCATCACACCTGCATCACGACACAAGGCACTGGTCTAGAATGTGCTTCATCAACACCGCTCAATACAGCTCGTCATACGAATAGCAGAGGTCATCAATGTCCATCACGTCGCTAATCTTCGCATCCCAGCCATTATAACCCAGCGAAAGCGGAAAGTCCAGAGTTACATTGCCGCCCTGCGCGTTGTCCCAATCTTGTAGCACCACCGGCCCCGATATGTCGCGCAATCTATTCCCCAGATCCCTCGCCTGCCAGGACCACCACAAGCGGTCTAAATTGGCATGATGGAGCCAGAAGATGGGGTCGGCAGGTGACGCGAACGGATCGCGCATCTGGCCAAAGGTGCCACCGACACCGAAGCTGAGAAGACCACGTTAGCATTGCCGCATGGATCCTGAAAGATAAATCACGTACTGCCCACCAGCGTGGATCTGACTATCGTCCCAGGCCGTACCACTTTCCATCGTCCGCGCGAACCATCCGTAGTCCGCCTGCGCCATGACTGTGTCCAATTTATCTCTGCCCACATACATAGCGGCGTAGTCGGGCGCCAAATCTCGCCGCAGACACTGGTCGTTTCTTGCAAGCGACGCAGCAGGGCCTAGATGAACCGTCATGTTGACGAGAGGCCCATCTTGTACGCAGCCGCCTCCAGTTCGCCCTGGCACTTCGTTGTTCGACGTGTTGACCGGCACAAGAGGGCCGTTCCCACCAAAGCCGTATGTTGCGTCGAATATGGGTGATTGAA